AGTCTATTGAGCTGAAGTGGACACCAAAGTATTGCAAGGTTGGGAATGAAAGGTTAGCTAGAAAATCATGTGTGCCCTATTTGGTGCTTTCTGCAAAATGTTGAGCTGGAAACACCACTCATTGTTTACTTTTCTCTCTAAAGAATAACAGGTTTATATGACAGAAGTAGGCTTAAAATGAGGTAGGTAGGTAAAAAGGTGACAATGACAATTTTAGTGATGTATTTTTCTCTGAAGTAGTGAAAATTTGCTAAATAAAATTGCTAAAATAAGGTATTAAATTGAAAACTAAAATAGACTTTGTTTTACATTTCTTTGTAAGGACAGAGTTGCAGGATTCTGTATGTGTTATGAATGCTCCATATTGATATACTTTATCTTTGGCAAAGCCTAAGAACCATATCACATTGTTGGTATGTCTTAGTCTAAGAAATGAGTTATTTGTGGTAACTATGTTACTTGAACATTCTTATTGTGTATTTTAATACCAGGTCTCACTTTTGGCTGTATGTCTTTGGTTTTATTTCAGAAGGCACCAGTGATTCGGCAGGAGATGATGTGGTTGAAAATCATGTTGCAGACCAGCTTTCATCAGGCATGACACCAAATGCTATGGATACTGAATTTTTAACATCTCCAGCCAATCTTCCTGAACCATCAACCAATCATACAGAGGCCCTTGTTCATGAACATTTAGGAAATAATGATCTCACTGTTGGTGGATTTTTAGAAAATCATGATGAGCCAAGAAATAAAGAACAAAGCACTGAAGAGAATATACCAGCATCTTCACTGAGCAAAGGAAAGAAACCAGTGCATTGCAGAAGCCATGAAGAGGTCAACACAGAACTAAAAGCACAAATAATGAAAGAGATCCGAAAGCCAGGAAGAAGTATGTAGAATTAGAGATAAAATGTTGATTTCGTTATGTGTTCAAATAAACAAAAACAAGTCAAATTCACTAAACACACATCAAGATAGAAGTACTTACTATATGAACTCTGTAAGATTTAAGTTCTTATTCAGCTGGAAAACACTGAATAATTTTGGTGGTCATGGTACTCCAGTGTAGTAGACAGATATAGCTGCCATGACAGGGACCCAGAGTCTTGGTGTGTTATTTCAACTAGGAGTTGAAATTTTAGTAGAATAGATAACTCAAAGAGGTAGAGTGACTACTAACTACTAAATGTGTTAGGCTGACAATATATCTAACAAGTAGGGCACCTGTGTAGCCCAAAGTTCAGTTCTCAACACCGTCCTCTCTGCAAGCCCCTTCAAAACTTTTGTGTTTGTAAAGTTCCTCTCTACTGCCCACTACCATGTGTGAATAACTGGGTGTGCTTTAGTCCAAAACCAAAGTCATTAAGACTGTCACATGAATGCAAGAAGATTCTCTGGGTACAAGAACTGTGAGTAGTATTGGCATCCATTCAGGGTATAACAGGTCATCACTACTATGGTGGTGCAATGAAATACAATGGAAGGGTATTCAGGAACTTGTGGAATTTTGGATGGAGTTATATATGAAAACTTGAAAGTGAAGCAGTAACTTTATTTTTGGGGTTTTCTCCTTTCATTGTGTTAAGAGTTTAGAATTTGAACAGTAAAGATGTTTTGTGTAAAGGCTATTTGCCTGTTTCTCTGGATGATTGCAGAGCTCTTTAATCTCTAAGCTGCCTTGCTGTCTTATTGGGAAGTTTTGGCAAAAAAAAAAAAAAAAAAAAAAAAAAAAGTGCTTGGAAAGTTGTTTAATTTTTGGTGACACATACTTTGATGTACATATCTAACAAGTAGGGCGGCAACTGTGTCTGTGGTAACGGTAACATTTTTGTGTGGAATATTTTTGTCTGAGTATATTTTTGTCAGCGCAAAGAAGCTGCAGGAGAAACATTGTGAGAATACAGATAAAGCCAGTTAATTGTTTTTCCTTTTTTGTTTTAAGAATATGAAAGAATCTTCACTTTACTGAAGCATGTGCAAGGAAGTTTACAAACAAGGCTAATATTTTTGCAGAATGTCATTAAGGAAGCATCCAGGTAAAGAAGCTTGTTTGTTACTGAATATTAGTGAATGGTCTGCATGCTTGATGTTTGAATGGCATTTGTTATACACTTGAGTTTATGCATGCATTTGATTATTGAAATGTGAATTTTTCCCCTTTTAATTCAAAGGTATTAATAGACACACAATTAATAGACACACAAACCCTTGAGGAATTATAGCCTTTTCCCTTGTAAACTATTATATATTCTTTTAAAATTCTTGCTTTTTCTTCTCATGCTTTTGATGGTGTTGAATATAAATCTTTAATTTTCCCCTTTTCTATATTAATAATTATTTTAAGTGATTAGAAATAACCTTGAAAGGTAATATTGTAACATTAGGAAGGTTGGAAACAACTGCTTTAGTTAGACAGGATTTTTTTTGTTTGTTTTTTGAGTGGTTTGGGTCTAGGCTACTTGAATGATCAAGATAAGGCTATACATTTTCATATAAGTTGAAATATTTTAAATTATTCTGTTTTTAATGAAAACTATTCTGGCCGGGCATTGGTGGCCCATGCCTTTAATCCCAACATGTGGGAGGCAGAGGCAAGTGGATCTCTGTGAGTTCGAGGCCAGCCTGGTCTACAGAGCTAGTTCCAGGATTGGCTCCAGGCTCCAAAGCAATACAGAGAAACCCTGTCTTGGAAAAAAAAGAAAACAGAAAAGAAAGACTATTCTGTCTTTTGTCAGTTCATAGTGTACCTTGAATTTTTAGTGTAGATGATTTTTAAGACAATGTTTTGCTGCATAGCTCAGGCTAGCCTCAATCTGCTAGGAATGTGCCCCCATATTGATGCATCTTGGATCTAGTTAGTTCCTTGCACCTGCCTTTTTGGCACCTTTGTTGTAGAATTTGGTGCCTATTTGTATCATTTTACAAGAAAGAAGGAAAAAAAAAACAGAACATCCAATATTTTTGAGATATTCTGAAAAGCATCAGTGATAGTAATGATTTTGTGTATATAATTTTAGCCTATTTATATTTGATACTGAAAAAACATTTTGTGCTATATATACTCTGTTATAGATACCTTATTACACTTGGTATCCTAGTCCTCAGATTGCAGTAGAACACTGTGATTTTTAATGCTACTACTGGTTTCCATTTCCTCTTTGTGTAGGCACTTGCATTTCTTCCTTGTTTCCATTCTTCTTTTAACGCTTAGTTCTCAGAAGGGACTGGATGGGATCCAACTTTTACTATAATGTTTAGAATCCTTGTGTATATTAGTATTTTCTTTCTCTTTTCCTTTTTGGTGGTTTGAGACCTCATGAGCTTTCTCTGTCCACTTTAGCATGTGTTCATTGGTGTTACCCTTGTTCGGCTCATATTTAGGCAGTTCCCAACAGATCTTAGGTGTTGGGTTTCATTTTCATTCTACTTTAATCTTTCCCAAAGCCAGCTTTTCTTTTTGAATTGTCTGTACTAGGTTATGCATGCTATCCATTAGAGGTAATTGAGAATGTTCTTATTTTGCTCACACAGGTTTAAAAAGCGAATGCTAATAGAACAGCTGGAGAACTTCTTGGATGAAATTCACCGGAGAGCCAATCAGATCAACCATATTAATAGCAATTAAAGGAAAATAGAATGTGGCCACTTATTTCACTGTCTTCTCCAAATACAAAGTAAATACAAGACTGTTGTAATCTTGCATTCATTCTTTGACATGCATTGTTGACTATTTGAAATACTAAAACAGTCTACAGATTCTTTCCATCATTTTACAGTGACCTTTTCATTTTGGTTTATTTTTGTAATGTGAAAAGTATCACTAATTTTTTTTTTTTTTTTTTAATTTAACAAACTAAAACTATTCTCCAAATCGTCCGCTTGTCATTGGCTCTTGCGTGTCAGTTTCCCTCAGGTTATATTTTCTTAAACCAACCTTTAAAATTGTCAGCTCTGTTAAGGTTGAACTTTGCCAAAAAAAAAAAAAAAAAGAAAAAAAAGAAAAAGAAAAAAAGAAAAAAAATTAAAAAGAAGTTACTTTGTAATTTTTGGGGAAAAAAAGCACATACATTAAGAACTAGGTAATGTTTTGTATATACAGTTATTTTGGATATATTATTGTAAGTTGTACAAATGTATTTTGAAGAATATTTAAGAAAAGCACTTTTGTTATTCCATCAATAAATGCTCTATTTTACTCTTGTGTGGTTTAGGAAATAATCACATTTAAAGTAACTACTTAACATTCTAAAACAGTGGAAATTTAAAGGCCTTTCTTTTTAGCATTGAAAAAACACAACTTAATATTTGTTAAACTATTGTAATTATATGTTACATAACCTGCATTGTCTTTTTAAGTATATGTTCTTAGTTTTTTGTTGGCCATGCCAACGTACTCCACTCTTACCTGGATAATGGGAATGGCTATGCCTGTGGCTGACAGACATGTTTAAAAAAAAAAAAAAAACAACAACTTTATAAGTAGATTACTTGGTTATTAGTGGTTTCTTAGCACCCTTTAACCTTTTTCACAGGATTTGGATATTTGGATGACACTCAAGTCTAGCCATTAGTTAGGGCATGGTAGGTTTAGGGTATGTCACATTCTGAAATGTCTAGTGTGTAGTAATTTGGTCTCATGTCATGCTTACATGAGTCTGTGATGATGGATTCAGAGAAAATCTCTTGGTTCTGACACTGAGACTGTTGTTTAGATGACTTGCTCGTTTTGTTTTCCACTGATTTGCACACGAGGATATCCGACACTTAGGTTCTCCATCCTCACAGGGCTGTACACTCTTACAATGGATGCCACCCTGTGTTCTGACTTATACACACATTCATAGATCACTGCTGTGCCTTTTAGTGGTTTGGAGGGATCCAATAGAAAAGGTTAGGAGTTTTAGATTTGGAATAATTTGAGATGGGAAAAGCTTCCAAAATTATTTTTTTAATTGAATTATTTTTAGATTAATAATATTTGGAAATCACATACCCTTAAATTGTAAATATTTATGAAGGAAAGCATACATAGAACATTCTTGAGACTTGCTATTTTAGTCAAGGGGATTTGAAACTCTCCCAATACTGAAGACAAACCCTATAAAGAAAAAGAAGCATTTAATGTGACTTGTAGTATTTTCATATAACAGTTCATTAAACAGTTCTTACCTCTTCAAAATACCTGGAAGTAATTGAAGATAATAATTTAGGAACGGAATTATTGAAATAATTGCCTGTAGTCATGCTGCTAAATTCAGTAGGAACTATACAAAATCCAGATTGACTTTATGGTTGTGTATTAAGAGTGAGATCATGGGAACACTGGAGTCATTTAAAGATAGAAGTTATACTTAAAGTCTGAGCACTTGGGGAGTGTTCTTGCAAGGGTCCTCATGTCACAGGTTGTTGGTGGGAAAATGCTCAGATCTTTTGTCTTTACTACATTTTACGTAATGAACCAGCAAGGGGGTGGTAAAATAATAGTTTCTTCTGTCACTTTTCACTGCCCTCCTCCCCTTATCTGCCTGGCATAAAACTCTTTATACCTTAACACTAAAACTTAGTCCCAAAGTTTGCAGCCTATCAAAACTAAAGCTTAAGATCCCACCTCAGGCTTTTGCCTTTTAAAAAACGTTGGGCAAGTTATTAGGTAAACTAGTGAAATTTCTACAGAATCCTTAGCAAAGGTAGGGGTATACCTGGAGGTCAGTATCTTTAAGTCTTTGAGGTCATGGAATGATGCTGTGCTGGACAGGTGGTACTCTCCAAATGCTTAATATTGGAGTTTTTAGGTAATTTTTCTTAAACAGTGAAGGCTGAGGCTCTTTTTGTTTTGTTTTTAAGGTTAGTTTTTATTTGTTCAGTGTTCTGCCTACATGTATGTAAGTGTACCACATGCATGCCTGGTGCCTGTGGAAGCCAGAAAAGAAGGTGTCAAACCCCCCCCCCAGAACTGGAGTTACAGATTGTTGAGTTTCCATGTGGGTGCTGGGAGCTGGAGTCTTTACAAGTGAAGAAAATGCTCTTAATGGCTGAGCCATCTTTCAGCCCCAGCTGAAAGTTTATATATCATCAGAAAAGTAGCCCCTTTGCCTTGGGTAATGTGAACAGCCAGTTTCTGGAAAGGAAAAGCCACAGGGACTAAGATTTGTGATAAATTAGGGTATTCGTTTTTGATTAGACCTGTATCCTTATTTTCATTCCTAAAGCAGTTAAAATTTATACTATTGAAATTGTGATGTCTTTTTTTCTAGTCCAACATCTTTACAAAGGTTTTTATACAGTTGAATTTCAAGAATCTGTTACTTGTCTTCTAATTGTCCCCTTTATTGGATATTAGCTTTTGCAATGGCCCTCCTAGAAGTTAAGATTAGTCCTCTCTCTTGGTTTGAGGATTTAAAACTTGTCTTTTTGTTGCTAGCTCTCTCTCTCTCTCTCTCTCTCTCTCTCTCTCTCTCTCTCTCTCTCTCTCCCCCTCTCTCTCTCGCTGTCTCTGTGTCTCTCTCTCTCTCTCTCTGCTGCCTACTTTGAGTAATCAGTGCCATTTTTGTCTAGTCGCAGTCACTGGGGTTGGGGTGATCACGGTGAAATACTAAGTGGACATTTTCTGTTATGGGCCCTCTTCCCAAATCATCCCTGAGTAGATTATTTCCAGGGAGTGATTATCTGCACCCTTTTTGTCATGAACTCTCCTTTCCTTTCTAGCACACGTTATGGCAGCATACAAATGATTCTCAGATAAAATGATGTTGACAGTATTTACTTTTAACAATCTGTGTTAAACTATGCTAATTTTTATTCTAATATTTCTTTCCACAAATAAAAGTAATACTTGATGTTTAGTTAAAGTAGATTCACTTTGACTTGATTTTATTAATCTTGTTCCATACTGCTGTTTTAAACATTACTGAGAATTGCCAACAACTCTTAACTGAGAATCTCTTCCTTCTAAGGCCAATAATTGGGGGAGAACAATGAAGGGGGAAATAAAACCATTCAAAGACTGTTTTCAATATTACTGGATTTTAGAGACATGTGCTTCTTCCTTTGGGCTACTTAGGATAACCTGTGCCTGCCATTTTGGCATTGAGACTGTTCTTTCTGTAGTGGCGTGGGAAAGTACTATGATGATAAGCATTTGGTTGTTGAGAAAGGCTAGCAATCAGCATAGAAATCTGGATTGCTAAAATACTATCATCTCTGGTGAATTCTGTGGTATATCTTGGCTTGAAGAAACCATCTTTTCTAACATGATAGGACAGCAACAAGGAAGGCAAGATTTGATTGACTTGTGATTTCATGACTTTTTAAGTCTAAAGCAGAAATCTACTCAACTGAAAAAGTCAGCATTAGCTACAAATAAATAGACTGGAAAAATAAAAGCTATGAAGGAAAAGAGGTTCCTTTGTACTGTGAATTATAGCAGCTAGGAAAACACCATAGAAAGAGAGAGAAGAAATATTTATTTGAGATTATAATGGATAAGTAAAATTGGATTGCTAGAGAGATGAAGATAAATGTCCGAATTTGTGTTTTAAAAGAGTCAGTACCTGTGTTCTGTTCTCTCAGAAGAAAGATGAAGGGCCGATCTGCTTTAAAAGCAGGAGTCCGGGACCTCCTCAGCAGCAGCACAGCTGGGGAGAGAGTAGACCCTGTCACATTTCCTGTCACCGCAAAGCACATACATGTAGATACATAGGGACTAACCTTGGTTTTCCTTTAAGGGGTCTAAGCACTTTAGTGACATTTCACTGTGTAGTACTATGGGAGTGCAAATGCTGAAATTAAAGAGGAAAGATATTAAACTAATCCTGTGTCTCATTTTTAAGATACTCCATGAAATAGCTTCCCTCAAATGTAAAATACTTATGGGGCAGTGATACTTTGTTAAAACTGGTATCATTGCTTTTCAAAAAGATTTTCCTTTCTGTTAGTTTTTTAAAATGCTATATCACACTTTGGGTTGGGCTTAAGTAGTGTGGTTTACAACTAGAGTCAACTGGGCAGACTCAAAAAGGCTAGACTGGGTGAGCCACTCCATGGTGCTTAGTGCTTGGACTTGTGGATGTACCTGTGGCTGCAGATGACTTGGTGCCCTCTTCTGAAAGCTCCATCTTGGCCTTGTGGGTTGCTTCAGAAACATAAAAGCCATCTTGACCTAATTAAAAAATGACAGAAATGTAAAAGTGATTTATTTACATTTTCTGTACATATCATGTACATGTTTAAAGATTCATAAGTAAAACTGAACCCAAAGCTAATTTAAAATATTAAAATCTTTCCTTTAGCCTGCATTTCTAAAACTTAGGTATGTTACTAGGCTCTTAAGAGTGTCTTCTAAAATAAAAATATTGTTGCCCAGGAACAAGTTCAACAAGCTTTTGAGATAATTTCCCCTTGGCTGTCTTCTTGGGCTGTAGCTTTTAGGAAGACACTGAAGATTAAAGCCATAGGATTCTGTTATGAGGATAGTCCAGTGTTAGAAGTGTCTGCTGCTCCACAACTATTTCCTAGGCAGCTGGCTATGCTGCTTGGTTAGTTAGCTCACCTTAAGGACTGTAACCTGCTGAGAAATGTGAGGTTATAGCTATATGTATGTGCTAACAGTTTCAAATATAAGCTTAGCAATTAGTGATGAGAGAACTTAGAAGACTTAACAGATTTCTGTAATTTAACAATTCTCCAAAGGTGAAAAGTGGTCATGCAAGACATTAAGCTGCCCAGCCCTAACATTTCAGAGGAAGTGCTCATCTGGTATCACACACCCTCATGAGAACTGAGAATATCCAGGCTTCAGACTCAAGGCCCATTTCTACCCAACCCCCTCCATTCAAGAAACTGCTCTCTATAGCACACCATCAGAGAGACCTGCATATTAACAGTCATTTTGATGTACTTTGGGAAGCTTTGCTTGTTAGATTGGTCTGCACTAGTCATACACATACAAGGAAATGGCCCCTGAAGGTCATGTGAAACTAAAAATGAGCCTAAGATACAGATCCTTGTGTATCATCATTGCAAGGAGACAATGGGATATCAGAAGATGGTTATTTTGACTGTAAGGAACAATTGATAGCAGTAGAGGATGATGGGCAAGTGCCACAGGAAAGAAGTCAGTAGATAGTCACATGGTACCAGTGGAGAATCAGATTGGTTTGATGGTGGTCTTTTTGAGAGAAGAAACAAGATTCTCTGTTAATGATTATTAGCCCCTTCTAGCCATGAGCAAACAGTGCCAAAATTAAAGTTTTATAAAAAGTGTCTTTGCCAGTTGAGATTTTACTGTCTGTGACTTCACTACTATTATGCTGTCTGAACACTGATATGATTAAATGAGAACAGCTTCCCTCTAAAACTCCTTGTCAGCTAACACAGCAAATCCAAATACATCTTCGGTAAGCTAGGTTGGGCTGTTTTCAAAGTCTTTGAAAAAGCAAGTGAATTGCTCAAGTAGTTTTTTTCTCACCAGATTCTAAGAATGACCTGATAATTGTTAATGTTTGCATAACCATAGCTGAGTCTACCCATAGCCACATGCCACCAACATCACATCTTTGAAGTTCTTTAGGGAGAGTTGACATTTCTGTAGACTAGTCCATGTTCTTCCTTTACCTCATCACATCTTTGAAATTCTTTGGGGAGAGTTGACATTTCTGTAGACTAGTTCATGTTCTTCCTTTACCTTGTATTTTGACTATAGCTTACTCCCTTCTGTCATATGGCTATTGAAATATTACGCCACTAGTGAAATAACCAGGAAAAGCTGAGGGGTTTTCTTGGCTTTTGCTTATCTGAGTTGTTGGTATCAGCTTAGTGCCATTAAAGGTCACAACTTGTTTTCCCAAAATTTGCCCTCAGAATCATTTATAGTTATTCTGTAGAAAAGACTCCTTTAGTTAATGGAGCCCACATTGTTGTGAGTAGGAAACTTTCTTGGAGCTGCTGATTTGCTAATGTTTGCATGGTGGCTTCAGCAGGACTGCAGCACACAGCTTTCAACCCTGAAGCGCCACATACAGCCAACTGTGAATACATCAGTGCCTGTATTCCATGTTGCACAGCAAATGTGAGGGGTTCTTCTGCCCTCCCTCCCAACATACCGCCCATTCCTCTTCCATGGCACTATTAAGGATTACTCTTCCCTCTTAGATTGTTAGCTCTAGCAAGTGGAAATTATGACATGCTCACTTTATTACTCTACCCAACTTTCAGAATGATGTTTAGTCCATGCATGTGTCAAAGAAATGATGGGTGTGCATATCAGGAAGGATGAAGCACAAGGATTTAATTGGCAAGGATTTAATTCCTACCCCATTGGTTGGTAGATGCAATCGTTCTTTTGTATACTCTTGGTCACACACTTTGTAAATCATTGTCTGCATTTTGACCTCATCCTCATCAGAACAGAGATGGGATATCACTTGCCTCCTTTTGTCTTTCATGCTTTGACTTAGCTACTAAGAAGTGAAGGGTAGATGTGTAACATACCATTGCAGATAGACCAGGATATAGAAAGTGTCAGGAAGAATCTTGGTGACTCAATTAGTTACAGCTGGTTGCTTCCTCTGTCCTTCCCCTTGTTTTCTGTGCAGTGTTGGCTGTACTTCCTTTGGCCCAAGTTAATTCATGCACTCTAGACTTACTTAAAGTCATTGCATATAAGCTTGAACTTCTTAATGGGCAGAAGTTGGAAGTGGACTACCTGCTTATGAAAGCAAAGACTAAGATAGTTTCTTAAGAGGTTTGAGTTTGTACACAAGGAAGACCTCCTTAGCTGGAGTGTGAGCTTGTATTAAAACCTGCTGGTGGTCCATAAGGAAGGGGAACAGGTACCTCCCTGCTCTCTTCAGTGAGGAGACTGGAACAATTCAGTAACTTTGTAATCTGTAGAGAGAAGGGTGTCAATGGGTAGGGGAGAGCTATATCTGAGCTCAGATGAGCTTGATGCCAAGAAGGAACAGAGAAGTGATGTTTAGCTAGGAAAGGAGAATTGTGAGTGATTCTTGCTTTGGAACCGGATGGAAAGAAAAGCTTTGTTGGGCTTCCTCAGTAATCTAAAATGTGGAGACCCTTTGTTAATAGAGGATGGCTCTGTTTTCTGATCATTTCTTCTTTTGTAAAAACCGCAGCAGATAGGGCTGGTAAGATGGCTCAGCAGGTAAAGGTGCTTGCCTCACAAATCTGATGACCTTGGTTCAATCCTTGAAACCCACATAAAAGTGGAAGGGGAGAACTATGTCCTCTGTCCTGCACATGCGTGGTTCATATGCTCCCTCCCACCCAAGCATGCACATAAAATTTTTAATTTTAAAAACCAAGACATTGAGTAATACAATTGGTGAGATGGGTAGTAGCTTTCCATTTGTTTCAATGGCCTTGTCTCTACAATAGGCAGAAGCCACTTGGAGTGAGTGGTCTTGGGTTATATTTAAATAAGGGCATCAGAAAGCAATCAAAATCTTAGTTGGCAAGCTATATCTATAAGGGAGTGAACTTAAAATTTTTAATTATCACCAATTCCATGTCTGTCCCAGTGACTCAGCATCACTACCATAGCAAGAAAACAGCCTTATTTTATATTTGTTTGTTTTTTGAGACAGGGTTTCTCTGTGCAATGGCTCTGACTGTTTTGGAACTCACTCATAGACCAGGATGGCCTCAAATTCAGAGTTCCACCTGCCTCTGCCTCCTGAGTGCTGGATTAAAAGCATGTGTCACCACAGGCAGATAATTTTTATGAGTATAAGCTGCTTAATTAATAGAAGCAGGTATTGAGTCATCATTTGTTAAATTCTTTGTTATTGAAACAAAACAGTGAAAGGAGATCGCTAGATCTCATCAGTAAAAAGCATGACTACAAACTCCATATTTAACACATGCTGGATTATTAAGTAAGCCAGATCTGTGAGCCTATAATTATGTTGGTTTGAACAAATGTAAGTAAATGCATTGTATTAGATGTGAACCATCTAAATGGTACTCAGAAGATTCAGTGACAGGCTGGGGTGATGGCTCAGTTGGTTAAGTGCTTGCTGTGCAGGTGTGAGAACCCAAATTTGATTCCTTGAATCCACGTTTAAAAGTCAGGGGCATAGTGCATGCATCCATTTCCAGCAGTGTATGGGGGAAAGGCAGTGGAGTCCCATAGCTTGCTGCCCAGTGGAGTCTAATCCCAGTGAGAGATTGTCTCAAAAATGTGGATCACTCATAGGCCATGGGTGTTTTTGCTTATAGTGGGACTGCAAGATTCAGTTGAGGACCACTACTGTTTAAGAACACAAGATTGACATTTGAGTATGTTTTTCTCAGATGCTGAGGAAGAAAGGCCAGGAATTATGAAGAAGCAGAAGTAAAACAGGTTAGTACAATAGTGTGGAAGAGAGGGCCAAGAATAACCTCAAGGCTGCCCCCTCTTCTGGTACTGGGTACCAAACCCAGCACCCTAAAATAGTAATTGAATCTCCAGTAGCCACAGGGATATTGTAGCTGAGTTCTGAAGCCTTGAGAAGACAGCATGATGATTGCCCATAATTGAAGATAGAATGTGCATAACTTGGCTGTCCCTTGCTCCTTGCCTTTGATCATTTTGCTGCTATTTTCCTTTTCTGCAGTGTCAAAGCATGCCTGTTAATAAGGAAGATTTCTGGTTGAAATTTTCAACTAAGCCAGCAATATTCCCTTTTGTCTAATTGTGTATCAAGTATTGTGAACACTAGATAACTTGACTGTTATCTCTGAACATTTAGATAAGAGGTGGTAGATGGGTTTTTGAGGTGTGTGTGTGTGTGTGCGTGTGTGTGTGTGTGTGTGTGTGTGTGTGTGTGTATGTGTGTTTGTGTGTATTGTAGTGTTGGAGATGGAGACTACTATGAAGTCCTAGCCCCAAGATGACAAATTTTTAGTACTCTTAATTAGATACAGCTTTATTAACTAAGTAACTTGCAGTTATTCTGTCTGGCCATGTCTAAAGCACAAGCCAGGACTTGAAGATAAAACTCCCATTATTTTCTGTGATTAAGAAGGAAGATTCAGAACAAAGTTTTAGTACCAGGTATTCCAATGGTCACTGTCTAAAATGGTAACTTTCAAGTTCATCAAGTAAAGGCAATGTCAAGACCAATGAGAATGTCTGTTGCAGTGTTTTCTCCTGACAGATAATCTGTAGAGTAGATATAATCCAGGGCCTTTTGAGTTGGCTAAAGTTAAGACGGTGGTTCCCTCAAATAATTTTCAAAGTAGACGTTACCATTCATTTCCCTTTCAGTGTGCAATGTAAGCTCAGACCACGGGCAAAAGGCCCCTATTGATCATTAGTAGCATGTCAACTATGGGGAAAAGTTGAGCATGGATGCTCAGAAGAGCATCTTAAGGCTAGGTCACGAAAGCACAGGGCATTTGAGGAATGGATGGAAGGAAAAGTTTCTGCTTAGTTCATCACAAAAGGCATGTGGAGTTAAAGGCAGTCAGGAAGGACTAAAGGGTAGAAACAGGATGACCTTGGTGCTGATATGAAAGCAGAGGGCATAATAAAGGTTCTGGTACTGCCTGTAGTCAGGAGAGTCTGGTTATGGTAGAAGGGAAAAGACTCGTTACCTATGGCCACCTGCTCCACTGTGAAGGTGGTTTCCAATTCTATGCTTAATGTCTCCAAGGAGCATCCCTTGCCCACCAAATCTAATAAAAACTTACAGTTAGAGAGGCCCCACATTCTTACATAGAACCAACACTTGATTCTTTCATGCAAGTGTTTTACTGTCAACAGCTCTATGGAAACAATAAATGTCCTTTAATCAGAGTATAACAAAACTGTCCCCCAAAAGACTGGAAGAATTGAAAAATTACTACCTGAAATTCCTTTCAAGTTAGCTTTGAGTGGGTCAAAAAGATCAGTGATACCCCATGATCTTAAAATGCTTTTTAGGTCAAACTGATTTTGGATCCGAAACCTGCAAAACAAAAGCAAATTATCGGTTGCTATTTGGAATTCACACTATTCGTTCATACATATTGAATGAAGTATAAGGTTCTAACTGGAGGTCAGTGCACACTGGACTCCCACCCCACTGTATTTTTCATTGTTACTTTTATTGAGTCATCCCTGGGACTAAGCTGACCCCTCTGGGCTTTCTCCCAGCTTTGTCTATACTGCTCATTTGTGATGGCTCTGTTTCCCTTGACTGCCTTTAAATAACTGTCCATTCCTCAGCTGTTACCTTCCTACTCAGATTTTCTGTTTCAAAATGGTACTAGAGATAGGATCCAGGATCTCCTGCATAATCAACATATTTATTACTTGAGCTCCACCCCTAGCCTAGTGACACTTGGTTCTTAAAGCCCAATTTGCAAAGTTGTACTCTTAGGATATACAGAACAATTTGCTTCCTATTAATATTCTTTGTGACGGCATAAATGACCTGAGAAGAGTAGCTGCCTCAGCCCATTTTTATTAATAATATTTAGTGAGTTCTGGCACACTGCTAGACACTATGATGAGAACTTCATAGAAATTATTTCATTTTCCTCTAATGGCTATTATTCCTTATGCAGTAGATGAAAAATACCAGGCATAAAGTATTTAAGACGTGTCCAATGACCTAATGAGTATGTGATGCACCTTGGTTTAAATCTGGGCTATGGGCATGTGGAGCCCAGCCACGATTACTTGGACTCCAAATCTTCACATTTGGGTAGACTCTCAGACATAATAGATGCAAAAAAGAAAAAAAAGTAGCTATAGTACCTTGCATATATTTTTCTACTGTGTAACACATTTTCATGTTTGCTGTGTGCAGTATGTGCCTTTGATGTGCATCAGAGAACGAATTCAGCCTTGAATAAACCATTGAGAACAGAAAGAATCCTCATACCAACTTTTCCCCAGGACAAAGCACTTATTTGCTGTTGAAGAAGCCTTCAAATAGACTGCTACTACTATGTGTCTTTGAATATATATATATATATATATATATATATATATATATATATATAATTTAAGCTGTCTTTTGTATAAACCATACATAACGTTAGAACAAAAAAGTATGTTGATGTATTTCAAACTATTTGGCCCACTTCTGAAATTGTCTTTAGCACAGAAAGCATCCTTTCTAAAATCCATAAACACTAAATGTAATGATTAGTACTATGGACCTGGCTTTTTAGTTTGGTTCCCTTCACCAGGAACTTTTTACTTTACAGACTCAGTGGCAAGGTGCCTCTATCCTTATTGTATTTCTATGTGAAATAAGCATGACAGCAGTAAAATCTAAACAGGGTTGTGATAACTAAATGAAAATTCTTGTAAAGTGTTCAGTACAACGCCCAGCATGGCCTAAGCACTTAGCATGTGTTTTAACTGTGGTTTCATAGTAATATTGAGAAAGTTAAAGTATGTTTGAAATCAAAGATGTGGTGGGGTAAGAAAACTGAATAATATGTTTTAATAAAGTAAAAGCAACAAAAGTCAGGTCTGATTTCAAAAGATTCCAGCGATATTCCTGTAATATTATGAAAGCCAAACTACAAGAAATGGCACAGTAACAAGTAGCTGCCTGCTTGTAAGAAGCTAGGTATTAAAGCAAGTTATTAAAGAAAATAAAGCCATATCCCATGACTTCTCAACAACATAGTAAGATTGACTTGAAATAAATTGGATCCAAAATGAATCCAGTACCACAGAAATCCTTCCACGACAAGTAGAATTAATTGCAAGAATGCAAGATGTGTTCAAGACATGAAAATAAGATAACACATATGTTAATAAAGTAAGGGAGTAAGACCACACAGTCATCTTAACAGATGCAGAAAAAGCTTGTGTCAAAATCTAACACCTTTTCATGATTAAAAATCAACAGGACTTTGGGGAATGTTCAATGATAGAGCACTTGCCTAGCTTGCTTTAACCTCACTATTGAAAACAACAAAAAAATAATGCCCAAACAAAAAGCTCCATCAAGCATCAAATACTCGGCCAACTTGGGACATTCGATGACTCAAGATGATGAAGAATGTCTATAAAATCCCAACACCTGGCATCTTTCCTTCTAGTTTCCATCTAAGATCAAGAACAAGACAAGGATAATAGTCTCATCACTTCTCTTTGGCCTTGTGCCGAAGGATGGAAAAGACAGATAAAAGCATCCATAGAAAGGAGGTGAAGTCTAGGGGATATATCTCAGTGATTACAGCATGCAAGAGGCTCTGAGTTCAATCTCCAGTACTATGAAAAAAAAAGTTATGAAATAAAAGTTTTTAAAAGGACAAAGAAACTATTTGAATTCACAAATAACTTGGTCTTACCTGGAGAAAATACTGAAGAACACTAAAAAACCCTAATTATAGCTAATTTGAGACAATCCCATTTGAGATATACTATCAAGATATAAAACTCAATGACATTTCTAATATTGACAATGTAAAGACAAAATTCAGAAAATAATTCTAATTCCAATTCACCAAAATAAGCCAAATAGTTAGAAAAAATAGTAAAAGAAGTATAAGACATGGACACTGAGAAGCACAAAACACTGTTAAACAATGAACTGAATGGAAGGCATCCAAAGCTGACAGATGAGACACCCATGTCAGAAGACAGTACTCCCTGACTGACATCATTCAAGACATACTTGTGTCTAATGCCAACTTGCTTGTTTTGGGCGGAAACTGGTAAGCTGATCTTAAGTAAAACAGTCTTTAGGAAGAAGAGAACAAAGAGTCACCTGCTGATTTCTAGACTGGTGTTCTAGGAGCCACAATGACACAACACTATAGAATATAAGAATCTATGCCCATAGAATCAAACGGAGTTCAGAAATAAACACATACATTTGGCAAACAATGTTGACAGTGATATCCAGACAACAAAATGAAGGAAAGGATGATCCTATCAACAAATGTATAGGATATTGGGCCAATCACCACATTGGAACACATGAAGGTTTGGCCTCTCTTTTACACCAAGTGCCGTTGGATGTTTCCACTTAACATCGAGTTTTCTTTTATTTTGGGAAATTTGCAACAATTTGGAAACCTCACAGGTGAACTATGCAGCTTAGCAAAATAACGCTGAAGGCATGTTATGGATACATAACACGTGGTAATTTGCCATTTACTACCAGAAGATGTGTGCAAATGTATTAAAACAAGTTAAGGCTGACATACACCTAGAGATTGCCACATGCACCAGTTTCACTCTCTTATTCTTGAAAATATGAGCAGATGCAAAGATGCTGTGTTGAGAAATAACTGCATAAGATTGACACCAGTCTATTATACTGCCGTGGTCATTTCACAACCTCTTCTGTTGAACATCTGCAATGCCCCCCCCCCCCACTATTCTATGCTGATCATCTCTGTGAAAAGTGGTCTTTTGTGGGCCTCATTTATTTTTAACCATACATATTTCACACAAAATATATACTGTGTGATTTAATATTGAGATAAGAACAGTCAAGATCAGAGCTATTAGAAGTTTTGTGGGAGCCAAGAGCTACATGCAGATTTCCTACAGCAAGGGAGGTTGGTGTCCCCTGACCCTCAAGTTGTCAAGGGTGCAATAGTTAATTCACAGTGGAACAAAAACTTAAAGTAAGAGCGAAACCAATAAAACTCTTAGAAAAACTAGGCATAGATCTTTGAGACTTTAATTAGGCAATAGGTTTTAGCAATTACACAAAACAGTCTCTTTAGAAATGGCTGCATAAACAAGACCTAGGCAATGACAATATCAATGGACCTGTTAACATGGAAGGGGAAAATTTTCTCCGGGTCACACCCCCAGATAAAGAGCTAGAGGCAAATAATGACTGCATATGTATGCAACAATGATAGCATTTGAGGAGGGGCATGCATAGGAGGGGCTCAAGAGAGGATAGCTGGGAGGGCCTGGAAGGAGGAAAGGGAATGGGGGGAAAAGTGATGTTATTCCATTTCAATTATAAACATTTAAAAAGAATGCTTAAATAAAATTTGGTGTATCCATACTCTAGAATATTATTCAGCCATTAAAAAGATGAAATCTTAAAACTTCGTACTAGGTGAAAAAAAGCCCAATAAAAGACTAATGTTGTATATTTTTGATTTGCATGAAATATCCCTAAAAGATATAGTGTAAAATACTGGTTGCCTATCACTGATAAGTGATGACTGATGAATATGAGTTTATTTTTAAGGTAATAAACATCTCTCAGAATTTGAAGTTGGTTGGGGGCATAGCTCAGTTGATAGAGTGCTTGCCTAGCATGCATGAAGCCCTAAGTTTGATCCCCACTACTACATAACCCAACTTCTGGTGTACACCTATGAGTCCAACATTCAGGATCCAGAGGTAGAAGGATCAGAAGTTCAAGGTCATCTTTAGCAATGTGAAACACTCAAAAAAATTAAAATTAGTATTCATGGCTGCACAATTTTGTAAATATATTAAAAAAGACATGCAATGTGGATCTATCATCTATTATCTATCTATCTATCTATATATATATTTATCATCTATCTGTCTATGTATCCTCTGAGACAGGTTCTTGCTAAATAGCTGTGGCTAGCCTCTATGTGGCTGGCCTTGAACTCACAGAGATCTGCCTGTCTCTACCTCTGGAGTGCTAGGATTTAAGGTGTGCACCACCATACCCAGCTCAATGTGCACTTTAAAAGTGATTTTTATGAGCACTATATCCCATGGGGGGGGGGATCCTTAGAAAAGTGCTGTGCATCATTTGGCTGGCAGCTTCAAAGAGGAGCAAAACTCACTTTGGATGTGTGTGTTACGTAGTTTGAATATTACTTGGGTGTGTCCCCAAAAGATCTTGTGGTGGAAGCTTGGCTCTCAGGGTAGTGGTATTGAGTTGGTGGGGACTTTGGGAGGCAGGGCCAGATAGAAGGTAACCACTCAGGGCAGCCCTTGGAGTTCTGCTGCCGTTTTCCATGAGAGTGGTTCTCAATGCAGAAGAGGAAGTCAGACCTTAAATCTCCCACATCCTTTCTTGCCCTGTGAATGCTTCTGCCACCACCGTTTATGTCATCATCTGTGTCATGATACAGAGAAGAGGAGATGCTGGTTCCAGGCTCTTCTAGAACTATAACGTATGTATGGGGAAACTATAGTGTGTGCTAACATAGTAGGCAATAAACTGATTAATATCTGGATTTAGACATATATCTTGGACTTTGGACCACAGTAGACACAGCCAGGTTCTCGTCTTTTAGACAGCTATATAGCTCTGTTGGCCTGGGTTGTTCTATATTCCTAAACATATTACTATCTAGTTTCAGGCATTGCTTTTCAATGGTTTGAAAGTACAAAGCAGGATAGTACAAACCATATCTAATATTGTGGATTTTTTCAGTTTTCTCCTCTATAGACCTAGAAGCAAGCATTTTATTCATTAAATCTATATTCTATATTAAATCTATTTTCTGCGGAGTGTGGGTATGATTGCATGATGATGACTACAAATGGTCCAAAAACATCCATTCTTGGTTTTCGTGATTATTTAGTAGGCTAACTGGTCTTTAATTTTATAAATAAACAAACTCTGGGAGACAGCATGGTAGTTCATCTTAGAGTACGGCTTGGTGATGCTCAAACTCAAGCACACCCTCTGGGCTCATGCCAAATAATATGCAACAACATGAACTCCTGTCCACAGGGTGCAAGAGTTTGGGCTCTCATTCAGCAGAATCTATATGATGACCACAGAGCACATTACACTAAATGGTGAATGCATAATTTGAGGGAGCCAGAGGGAAATTCTTACTCAAACGCTGGCTGTGTAGTGGGATGTGGTGGTGCGTGTCTTTTAACCTGGGCACTAGAAGGCAGAGGCAGGTGGATCTCTGTGAGTTTGAGGCCACCCTGATTTACATAGTAAGTTCCAGTCTAGCAAGGCTATGTAGTGAGAATCTGTCTAAAAATCAAGCAAGCAAGCAAAGAACAAAAACCTGGCTCTGTCTATCATGGTTCAAACTATATGTCTAAATCCAAACCAAAAGCAGTTTTAACTTTTTGCTTTATTTCCTAAAGCAGTGGTTCTAAATTTTTCAATACTGCAACCCTTTAATACAGTTCCTCATGTTGTGGTGACCCCCAATCATAAAATTATTTTTGTTGTTACTTCATAACTGTATTTTTTCTAGTTATGAGTTATAATGTAAATGTCTGCTATGCAAGATATCTGATACGGGGCTCCATATCAGATATCTTGTTGTTTGATCCCCAAAGGGGTCTTTGACCTAGAGGTGTGGAACCTGTACCCTACAGAGTTTACAACTAAGTTTTCCATTTGGTTGGTCTTATTTCTGTGGTCTGGTGTGTGTGTGTGTGTGTGTGTGTGTGTGTGTGTGTGTGTGCGTGCGTGCGTGCGTGCGTGCGTGCGTGCGTGCGTGCGTGTGTGTGTGTGTGTGTGTGTGTGTGTAAGTTTGGTTTTGTTTTACTAAAAATCTTCTATTAGTTTTGGCTTAGATGCTTGATACCTTGGGGTGATTACATAACTATCAGAGCAAGGTTGTTTGAATCATTTTGAGGCCCTCAGACCTCCTCTTCCCAGAGTTTTCAGGGTCACTGCTGAGGGCTCGGGAGAATGTCACTGTGATGTTCTCCTCTCTACAGAGCTCAGTGTTTCCTGGAGACTCTTACATTAGCCAGTCCAGGCTTCTCATCGTCATGTGAGAGCAGGTTCTTCCCTGGGCTGCACTTTCCCTGCATGCTGACTGCAAGAGCTGCCTTCCCTCTTGCACTGATTATTCCCCAATGTCACAGAATCAGGGGCTCTGGTAGGGGCTGAGCATTTGACTTTGAGAGAGGGGTTGTGCTTGGCTATGAGTTCACCTTTGGCCCTTCATCATGCCTGATCTCATGTTAGACCCAGGCCCTGCCTCTTTTGGGGCTACCCTTGTGTGTTTTTGCTCCAGGACATGAACTTATTTTTAACTGCTTGAGGGAGAACTTCGAAGGCCTTGGCTTTCACCCATTGGGAGCCCTTGTCTTGGAGTGTGACCAAGGCCCCCAAGTTGCCAGGAGTGTAAAGAATTCATGTGTTGCAAATGAGCTCCTGGATAGCAACACTGTGCACTTAATGCTGACCTACAAAGTTATGCTGAATGTTCTCAAACTGCCAAACAATCCCATCATTTGAAAAACTCTAAGCAGAACCCCTTTGTAAAACAATGTTTTGCTAACATCTTTGCTTTGGAAAATAAGAGCTAGCACTCTCCTTAGATTGTTTTTTGTTTCTTTTTTTTTTTTTTTCAATTGTGTATTTTGTATCTATTGGATTTTCTTCAAGTAAGGAACCTCCCCACTTAGCACAAAGATGTCAAATCTTGAATTTGCTATCTAATAGAGAAAGACTCACACTAAATTGCTCAGGCTAGTTGGAATCATTCTGTAGCCCAGGCTGACTTTGAACTTGCTGACTACTGTCCCCTCCATTGTTTGGATTTATAGTTGTACCACCATGCCTGAAAAAGTCTTAAATTTTTGTGTTCTGATTTGGCTTCTGACTAGCATTACATATGTTTTCTCAGTTATGTAAGTTATCTTTTCTCTTTGTTTTGGGGGCACTGACCACTGTACCCACAAGGGTGCCTCCTTACACTTCTTCATTCCATAGTGACATGCCTCTGCAGCAAGGAGGTAGGGACTTGAGCCAGCCTAGTGAGAGCAGTTCATCCCGGGTCTTCCCGAGATGAGTTAATTCAACTGTATTTACCCTGATCTACTTTGAAATAATTTTAGAATAGACTCAAACCCCAGGGAACTTCTCCTTGGCCTAAGCTCATTTGACAGGCTAGCTCAGTGGGAGGATAGGCCCTGGAGTCCGACCACTGGATTCTAAGTGAAAGCTCCACAGTAAAGAAGATAGCCACTCACCTGGGGAGGAACACATCCATCCTGGTTCTCTTCAGCCTGGTGGCCCAGAGGTGGATGACACTGGCTGTGAGGTGTGGTTCAATGAGGTTGAGAGGGGTGTCCTTGTTTTGGGGGAGCACCAGGAACAAACTGGCCATCCTTCCCAGGTACAACAGCTCCAGAACATCTACCTTATGGCCTGCAGCATCCTGGAACTGGCCTAGGGGTCCAGTGGGTCAGGGATTAGCTCTGTCCTAGGAGCCAGGGAAACCAAACAATGCCACAACCTGGGGTAGAGAGACTTACCCGGTAACAGTAAAAAAAAAAAAAAAAAAAAAAAAAAAAATGATGGTAACAGTAAAACAGAGTGCCTGCCAATCTCAGCCTCAAAGCAGCCCTAGACTGGGAACAGTTGGGTGGCATTTCCCTTTTACTAATCCTAATGCCCCCTAAGATCTCTCCGGGGGGTCTTACTCAAGGATGTACAGAAACTGAACCTGTTGGGGCAGTGTCTTGAGGGAGCCTGAGTAGCCTGGGCTTATTGGGGCCCAGGCTCTTTGTGTTTTCATCTTGTCTTTAAGAAAAGCTTCAAGTCTATATTTCTTATGAGAACATCCCACAGACCCACAAAACACACATCCTGGCTGGGTTTGACTTGAGGACTGATCATTTTTAACTGTGACCTAAACAGATAGGTCTCAGGATGGACAGCTGGGAGCTTGTGGGCAAAGAAACTTGCTGGTTGAAGACAAGCCCAGGCCACCAGGCAGAGTGTGGTTGCAGAAGGGTGTGATGAGAGCAGAACATGCTGAGCTGGAGAAGGGATGGGGGCTTGGGGGCTGGTGCGGGTTGTAGGGAGAAAGGTGGAGATGAGTGTTAGGTGAACCCACTGCATGCTCTGGCTTGTCCTTAGGACAGTCTGCTGGCATCTATATCACACACCCAAGAGGACACCGGCATCTTCTAGCACTGGGAACCTCCCACACTGACTGAGACAAGTACCCACAAACAGGAGGGTCACACAGAGCAATGGCATTTCAGGGTCAGGAGGCCCTGTAGTCTGGTGGCATCTTAGCCTTCATTTGGTCCTAGCTGGGTGTTTATGTCATGAAAGTGTCTTCTAGGAGAGGCGTTTGGTCCAGGCATTTTTGATTTCACACGAACATGTTCATATGCAGTGCACAGGCCAATGACAAGCATGAAATTGAATTCTCTTCCACATTTGTGTCCTCAGCATCCAGATGGGTATACCACCCAAGACTCCTCTGTAAGTCTCCCGCTACTCTGGACTTTCCTTCAGTCCACCCACAGCCTAGACAATGGACCCCTCTGGAAACCTATGTCCATCCAGTCCTGAAAAACAGAGACCACCTCCCCTCTCTTGTGTGAGTTGCTGGGTTTCCTCCAACTTTCTGAATGTGGGGAGGAGGAGGACTCACCGTAGCTGACCTCTGTCACTTGGTGCATTGCAGGGACTTGAAGGACGAGGCCTTGGGCGCAGGTGAAAGGCAGGGGCTGCGAGGCCATGGAAGAGAATCTCCTCTGCCAGGTGCTTTGGAAGGTCATGGTGCTCATGATGGAGAGCTGAGTAGACAGGGCACCAGCCTGCCCCCACAGTGGGCTACCTGGGCCCTCACCTATAGTTAGAAGGCTCTCTCTCTCTCTCTCTCTCTTCCCCCCTCTCCTCCCTCCCACCTAGTTTTGTGTTATTTTCAGTTTACCACAAAAGCTTTAATTCCTTATGCTGCCAAGGGATCCACAGCCACTAGCTGCTAACTAACTGGCTTTTAACTTATTGCCTTGGAAATGGAAAGTGAGAACATAGGCTCAGAGTGGGTCCCCGATGACTGCACTCCTGCTCAGGGGCAGTGAGGCACCTTAGGATTTGATTACAGCCTTCTTGTTAGCATGTATTCATGGATTCCCTGCCCCTGGTTCCATTGAGTCATTTCCCAGAGATTAATAGGCACTGTCTCCCCAGGCAGATGCTTGCACGGATGACACTCTGTGATGGGGAGAAGACTATACTCTGTCACCCCAACCTTGGGGCCCACTAATTGCTGAGCTGTATCCCTCCCCAAACTTTTGCTGAGGCAACTACAGTCAGAATAGTTTGGAGAGGTCTGTGGTTAAATTTGCATGTTAGAGCAGGAAGGAGCAAGCAGACCATTCCTACAGAGACAGTGTCTGTCCTGGGGCTTCAACTGTTTCATAAATACATTCTGTGCTAAGTTCTGCCTAAATGCTTGAAGAAGTCTCCCTGACATTTTGTTGTCATTCCTTATTTCCAAGATGAGAGGAGTGAGGCTCAGGGAAGTCATTGTCATACTACCATCTACCCAGTTACCCACCAAAAGGTCCTTGCTTTTGAATCTGAGCAGATGGGCTCTATATTCGTCACTTTGGATAGCTACACAAGTCCTTTTTCTTAAAGGGAAGCCAGGCCGTGAGTTGAGAATACCTATGTCGGATTTTGAGTGCTCCCCGGCAGCTCAAGGAGGATATAGGGGATCACTCCTTAATTAAACAATATTTTAACAATGCATCTATGTGTTTGTCTCTGTGTGGGTATGTACAAATGAAACCAGGTAACCTTGAATGCTAGAAGAGAGCATCAGATCCTCCATGGCATTAAAGGCAGTTATGAGGTACCCTTTTAACAGTTGAGTCCCCAAGGATCACTCCTTGTGAAGTAAATTGCCAAAGACAGCATTAAGCATTTGAAAATACCGAGGGAATACAGCATCCAGTCTATATGGATCCCAGTTTTCTGTTCTATTTTTAAACAACACTGGATCTTGAATACTCTCCATTTGTCTGAGTCTTTTGTGTGTTTACCACTGCAGCCAAACTACCTGGATCAGAATCCTGGCTTGGTGGCTCACGGGCAAGCAAGAAGCTCAACCCTTGGTACTTCAAGTCCTCCATTTGTAAAAATGGAGACCGCACCCAACTTTTAGGATCAATGGGTGAGTGAAATGGAATCAAATTTCAAACAGCACTAAATAAAATAAAATAAAATAAAATAAAATAAAATAAAATAACAGGCTAGCAGATGTTAGTGACTTCTACCCGCTTCCTAACAGTCATAGCACATGGTGGTTGCCATTGATTGCATAGCTAACCTGGACAGAACCAAGTGAAACATATGGATTATACCTTGTCCTTTTATGTGTGCTTTCCAGAAGCTACTTTCCTGGCCCCTGCTGCGTTTTGCTCTCATCTGGGGTTAATTGTTAATTGTAGGTGAAAACAGATCTTGGTGAGAAATGACCTGGGGAGAATGACATGGGTATTTCCAGAGGTGATAAGCTCTGAGGAACACCTTTCTGTGTGTCTGTGTACTCAAGTATGGGTGGATATGTGCATTTATGCTGGGGTGTGAAGGGGAGGAACAAGTCAGCTGTGGTTGTTTCACAGAACATATATGTCACTGAAAGATAGATCTGCCATCTCAATGTCTGCTATAATCCAGGGCATACTGAACCTCACCATGGCTCTGACAAATGATGGGTGGCACTATTTCTTTGCGGTCCTCTGCCCTTAGCTGTGCCGAGGAGGACGGTTTTCCTTTACCTGTGCTCTGTCTGGAGACTTCAATGGTGGTGCGGTTGGGCTCACCAAAGTCAGCTGGCTCCAGACTGCTGTTGGCCCACCAGGAGAGCTGCTGCACAAAGCAGGGAGACAGAGATGCTCCAGTGTGGATGAAAAGGGTACAGGCCAGCTCCATCCCGATGCCCTGACTGGAGTTGTGCAGTGCGGTATAAACACTGTGCAGGAACTCTCTCACTCTTGAATCTGTGGGAAAGGAATGTTCATAAGGGCTTGCACAGCTCCCATCTGCAGATTGTTGATGGGGGATGTCCTTCCATATGCCGTGAATATATGTTTCTCTTATTAGTTGATGAAGAAAGCTGTTTCAGTCAATGGACAGGCCAGATATGGCCAGGCAGGGTTATCAGACTAGGAGAATTCTGGGATGAAGAACTAAGAGAGTGAGTCTCCAGGGAGACACCATGTAGCTGCCAAGAAAGCAAGAAACTCGGGCATCACTGGTAAGCCAAGATCATGTGGAGATATATAGATGAATAGATATGAGCTAATAATTACGAGGGAGCTAGTCAATAAGAAGCTTAAATCATATGCCAAAACAGTTTATAAGTAATATCAGCCTCTGTGTGTCTATTTGGGACTAAATGGCTGTGGGACCAGATGGGACAGAAACTCCTGTCAATAGATTGTCTCAGAAGGTACATACCTTCTAAGTATCACCTAAAAGTCCCTCACTGGATATGACATAGCTACCTGAGTTGAAATCCACCTAACTCCATAGCTTAAAAGTTGGGCAGAAGACATGCTAGGTCACAAACAAATCTAGCTGGGAGTCTGCTGATGTCTTAGAAGTGGCAAGACTGTGCTTTCCTGAATTCCTGATTCAGGAACATTGCTGAGTTCCAGAGGAGAGTGTAGCAAGTAAGCTTTTTTTTTTTTGTTAGCCACCAGCTTACAAATAATAATATAGAGACTTCTTATTAATTATGAAAGCTTGGCTATTAGCTTAGGCTTATCCCAATAGCTCTTATAACCTAAATGAACCTGTTTCTATTAATCTATGTTCTATCATGTGGCTCAGTTACCTTTCCTTTGTCATATATGTCTTACTTGTTTCACATGCTCTTGGAGTCTCTCACACACCTAGAATCATCCCCTGACTTCCTCTCTCTCTTCCTGGAAGTCCTGCCTATCCTCTCCTGCCTATTGATTGGCCATTCAGCTTTTTATTACACCAATCACAGCAACACATCTTCACACAGTGTACAAATATTCTGGAACAGAAGAGTCTAGAGCTGGGATATGGCAGGTCCAGTGAGCCTGACTTGTCCCTGCCCATCTATACACAGAGAAGCATGCTTACACATGTTCATTCCAGAGTGTTCAATGCTAGAATAAAATGTTAAACTTGATGCTGCCTACAAACATTGTATAGAACACTCTACAGTTTGATTACAATGAATGTTCTCAGCAACACTTTCCAGTAAGGGCTGTGTTCCAACTGCGGTAGGGAGGAGACAGCCTAGTCTCAGACCTGTTCATCACTTACTCAGGGTCACCATGTTGGAGGTAGTGCTGCCTCCTCACCCTGTTGCTATCAGGAAGAGGAGTGTCTAGGCTTGAAGACCCTGCTTGGGAGAGCTCTGTTCTCCAGATGAACAGGAGCTGTGGATCACACAGACTTTAGGGAGCAGGGACTATGTTTACTACATTCTTTAGCCTTCTAGAGGGGAAGAAATGAATGGTCTGAGAGCAGAGATAAGGCTCTCCAAGCTCTCCAAGAGGAACCTTATGTCTGCTAGCTTCTACTTAGCCTCCAGCCTCCAAAGCAAAAAGGTGTTGGGAGAGGACCTATAATTAAGTGGCTTTTACAAGGTACCAAGGGACAAAAGGAAGAAGAAAATAAATGCTCAGGGACTGAAAAATCACCCTTAAGTTCATCCGATAGGCGACTCTAAAGCTGGCGGATCTGGGCTCTGGGAAGTTCTGGACTCTGCAGAATTCTAGACTCTGGGAGATTCATGTCCATAAAAATCTCAAACTGTGAGAAATACTGGTATTTGAATTTTCAAGAACTCTGAGAGGGGTGAGTGCAGGTGCTCTCCAGCAGGTGTGGTTGGGATGGGAGGATGAGGAAGCTACCTCTGATGAGGTGATGAGCAAGAGAGAAAGTAAGCTGCTTATAAATGGATGCAGCTGCTTCCTGGTCCAAATGGGGCTAAGGAACTGTGGAGAGAGCACAGGATTTGGAATCAACAATCTGGAGCTTGAATCTTGGCTGTTACCTGCCACTGGTCCAGCTGAGATTTGCTAAACCATTTACCTCTTGTGTTAGTCTGTGAGAATCAATGACAATTGTAAAAGAAAACTTAGTATGCACCACAAAACATAATTCTTTCCCTGGGACTAGACCACTTTCCTTTCTGAAGCCTCTGTGCTAAAATGGTCTCATTAATTCACCTAGAAGAATAATGAAAATGCTTAGATGCCAAAGCATTGGGAAATTATTCATTCCCATGGAACAAAGCCTAGGGAATTCAAGCTGGTTCTGGCTTGAAAGCCTCCTCCCTGAGAACCAGTTTTCTCAGTACTAGAAGTTGTTATGCAATCTTCCCAGGAAGGAGAGCAGCCAGTAGTCCTACCACAATGACTGGCATGGCACAAAACCCCTAAAGGTATAGTAGTGGCACACATATCTTGTCAGTAACCAAGAGCTCGCTAACTGAACTTAAGACCCGTTCAACAAGAGGGAAGTACAGAAACCTAGCCAACTACATGGACCCTACAACCACTACTTTACTAAACCAGCATAATTCCTAAGTGTAGGGAGCCGTCCCTACATTCTCCATTACAAGATGGCACTGGCATCCGGCTGACGGTTGGCATAAATAAGCCTGTGTGCGAGTGCAAGGGGATTTCTCCCACGCCTCTCCCGTGGCGTCATTCGGCCTGATGAGCGAGCAACCAGTCAGGGAGTGACACGTCCTAAGCGAGGCTGAGTTTCTATATAAGGGTGTGGGTTTTTGCTCTCGGGGTCTTCGCTCTACAGTTGGTGTAAGCTTATGCTCTGCCTCTCAAGAAGCATTAAAGCTATTATCGCAGAAGGATCCTATCTGTGTGCCGCATCGTTCTTGCTGGCGAGACGGTAGTGCGGGACACCTAAGTGTATTCCAAGTACTTATTCTTTATTCCCACAGGTAAGAGTAGCACTGAACCTTCATCAAGAAACTTCTCCTTGGAACAGATTGGAGACCATTTACAGAACACCACAACTGATCAAAATGCAGCTGGATCAAACTGATCCTACTGATAACACCTGCAGCACAGCTCCTTCACCTGAGGACACAGCAAGGGACAGGGTGCTGCAGGACTGGAAGAATGAGATGACCAGGAAATCTACCGTGAGATTGTGTCTCCTGCAAATGACAAGGGAGTTTTATCCATGAAATCTCAACAGCATGACTGCCTAAAAAAGACCAGGACAAGTATAACACCAACAGACATGCTAATATAGAAGGAAATTTCATGGAGCCTCAGCCTTAGAAAAAGAGCTATAGGCAATTGAGTAACACTAAGGAAGAAATATCCTTCCCTATGGAAGAACCTCCTCCTTATTTGTTAGCCAATACCAAGTGGTATAACCCTGAAATCATACCTACACAAGTAACAATAAATGGACTGAACAGGTTGTGTTGATATATTTAGGCATTCACGCGCATGCACGCGTGCGCTGCACAAGACGCGTGCTTGTATGTGCGCGCGCGCGTGTGTGTGTGTGTGTGTGTGTGTGTGTGTGTGTGCCGATAGCCAATAAAAAGCCACGATTTCAAGAAGGAGCAAGGGGGAGGAAGGCATGTATGGGAAGGAGTTGATGGAGGAAAGGGAAGAGGGAAAACAATGTAATTATATTTGAATTAAAAACAAAGAACATATTAAAAGTTGCATTCTGTGTATAGGTTTGTTTGTGCAGCTGAATGCAATGTTCACAGAAGCCAGAAGATGGTATTGGGTCTTTTAAAGCTGGAGTTACAGGTCTGTGAGCTGTCTGACATGCAAGAGAAGCATGTGCTCTTAACCACTGCTGTGGAGATCTTTCCAGGCCTGTATTACCTTTTAAAAGAAAGGCTGGGCTGTGGCAGCTAGCTGACATTGGTGCATGACTTTAAGCAGGACACAGTGTGACTAAAATGGGGTGATGAAGAGGACGCTGAGAACGGCCTGTCCCTGTCTTACTAACTGATGCTGGCTCCATACAAAGGTAAAGAAGTGTGTGATTCAGAAACTTAAGGAGGATCATTGTCATGCAAAGTGTTCCTGACATCTGGACAGGATTTTATCATCATACTCAATCAGCCTGGTACCAGGTACCATGATAGGATCTGGTCTCAGAACTGACCCTTTCCTGCAGGTCCCAGTCCAACCATTCTGACTTGTGTGAGACTCTGTTGAAGGCTGAAGTACCTCCTTTTCTTTCATATTCACATTTCTTCTCCCTGGCCAGGGATCCTCTGGCCTGCTAGTGGAATCACAAAATCACACGCACCCATCCCCAACTACAAAATCACCCAGCACCCACCCCCACCTACAAAATCACACAGCACCCACTGTCAACTACAAAATCACCCAGCACTCACCCCCATCTACAACATCATACAGCACCCTCCCCCATCTACAACATCATACAGCACCCGCCCCCATCCACATGTGTTGCTCCCCTGAGACATAGTTGCTGCATTCAGAGTTCTCCTCATGCACATAAGCAGGTCCCTCCCCAGTCGTGGCCTCGTGGTAGGATCACCATGACACTTGGTGAATTGAACTGTGTGGACCCTGATGAGAGCCCATGGATGTGTACACTGCTGTGGGGTATAACTGCTGAGAAAGACTACGTTCTAAAAGCTACCTTTGATTTCCTTTGTCCCTAAAGAGAACAAACCTACCTGTTGTCCAACAGGAGTGTAAGACTTGATTTTAGCAGTGGCCAGAGTATACACTGTTGGAAACTAGCAGTCTGTTGACCCCACCCCCAACAATGGGAGGGGCGCTCATGGCCATGTCATCGCTATGTCAGCCTTACCTGGCTGCTCAAACTTTACCTGGCTACCAAGGGACTCAGTTATGCATGCATGCGCAAGCCCTCCTTTTAAAGCAAGTGCACCAAGCGTGCCTCTCTCTCTCTCTGGCCCCCATCTCTTGCCCTCCCCCTCTCTCTTGCTCTTTCTATCTGCTCTCTCTCTCTTTCTCTCTCTCCCCTGCTTTCGGTTGGCCACCAGCTACCCCCCTTTCTCTCCCTTCCCTCAATAAACTCCATGTGGGCACTGAGTCTCGTGTTTGTGTTTCATAGGCAATAGTTGTATCAAAAGAACAACATACACAGAGGAGGGCAGGCAGTTCAGGTGGCATTAGTGCCTTATATGTAGCGTACTAACCTTTACTTGACAGCTCAAGGGTCCATGACAAAGGATGTCATGGCCAGGCAAGGTTGGGATTATTTCTTGTGCTTTCTGAAAAAAAAATCTTAATTCATACAAAGACCACTCCTGTCATTTTTAGTGACCTGTTCATTGTTTTGAGAAGGGGGTTCTTGCTACATAACAGAGTGGCCTGGAACTGAGAAGTCCACCTTGGCCACCACAGTAAGCTTCCCATTGGCATCCTACTCTGAGATTGAGAAGGGAGGGTCATGTTGGCTGTAGACTATAGTTGGTCAAGTATTGAGCTGCATCAGGAGTATGTGGGCTGACCTGGGTTCTATAGACTCTCATTGCTGCCAGCAGAGCTGTTCTGAGATTCACAACACACAGAGATAAGCTGTGGATTGAGCTCTGGCCAGAAACCACAGTCTCATGAAAACAGGTTGGTCCAGAGCATAGCCTTGGCTCTAAACATTTGAATTTGAGTCCAGCCTTGCCACTTATTGACTATGTGACCTCCAGCAAGTTGCCTCTACCCTGTGTCTATCTACTTCCCAAACACAATGAAATCACCAGCTTCGAAGGGTGTTGAGCAATTAGTAAATGTTTATAAGGGGTCTCCCACCCTGTCCGGCCACAACAAGACTATAAAAGGGGGACTCAAAACTGAAATACAGTCACGAGGCCAGAAGGAGGAAGTATGGCTGTAAAGTCTGAGTGCATGCATCATGTGCAGCCTCACTTCTGTGCCTGTGCACACTGGGAGCTGAGCTCCCCACTCCTGAGAGCCCCTGAGCAGGAAGGAGGGACAGGGGGCAGGCATGAAGAGGAAGCATGAGCGAAGGAGCCTCTTGCCTTGTACAGTGTATCCCAGAGCACTTGCCAGCTGCCAGCCGGTGTTTCCCCGGGCTCCAAATTGCAGGATCTCCAGGGAGAGGGACACACTGGCAGGTGAGATGACAAAGTTTGTCCCGTTTCTCTCTGCTGCTGCAGTCCGGTAGAGGTGAAGGGCAAACTCAGTCTTCAGCAAGCACAGGCCTTCACTGAGGGGGCTACCTCCTCCTCCTGCTGCTGAGAAGCAGGAGGAGACAAGACAGAGAGTGGCGAGCAGGAGAGGCCGCATGGAGGCTGGACACCTGCAATGCAGAGGGAGGAGAAACGGGAGAGGCTGGTGACAGAGATGGCAGCAAGTCTCGTTGCCTGAGAACTAGGACACCCAGCTCTGTTTCCAGGGACCAGGAATGGCTAAAGGGCAGGCTCATTGCATGTTCTTGACTACCCACTATGAGCCTTCCTGTCTAGGCTGCTTGACTGGGCTGGGGTCAGTTAGAAACCTCAATCACGTGCTTGAATGTCTGCTCCTGTTACTGACTGCTGGTGTGGCCTTGGGAAAGTCCTGGTCATGCCGAAACAAACCAATATGTTTGGAAAAGAAATGCCAAAAGTGCACCCTATTCCTTGTTTCTTGGGACTCAGCCTGTTTATAGCTGTGCCACATTTATCATGAGTAGTTATATATTAATCATACTTGAAGATCATCTTCTATGCTAAGGAGAGTATGTATTCTGGGTTAATATTGTAATGAGTATACTGGCTATCACAACTACAGTTACGGTGGCTGCGCTCTAGAGAACTCAGTGACTCATTGGTCTGGGGAGAATAATAGGGCTGTGACAGATCCTGGCCTTCAAGAGTGCTCCATAAAATGTCAAGAACACATTCATGCATCTGAAGACTGATGCATGGGGTAGCTGGGCCTAGAACCCTAGAACCCATGCTACATGGATTAGTTCACAGAGAGGAGATGAATCAAAAGAAAGCCCCTCCTCAGAACTGTGCCCTTCCAAGGAAGACAGGGTACCACGAGAAGAGGGCAATGTCCGACGAGAGCAGAGCCGAGCAGAGTATTCTCAATGGTTGTGTCAGTGGACAGAAGACAGTAGCAATCTTCACTAAGTGCCTTAATTGTGGGACTGGACTAGGTTGATGGGAGATGGAGGCTCAGTCCAAAATACTTCCTATAGAAGCTTCCAAGCAAGGCCCTGGGCTCGGTGGTGTTCACTTTAGATGAAGACCCAAGAGAAAAAGCCATGTTTTCTAGCTCTGCTTTTCACAGCTGAGCACAAATGCACACGACCTTGGAACCCAGGGAGTGGGAATTTGCATGGGTGTATGTGTCTGTAGAGAAAGTGGGCTTTAGTCTAGGGTCATTACTGAAAGCTTTAAGCCCTACTCCAAGAGCTCTTGCAGCTTCTACAAACTCCCCAGAACACTGGCAACCCTCAGCAGACAGACTTTGACACCCAGACTCCATGTGACCCAAGTCCTGCCATTGCTACTAGGGATGAGCTGCATACTCACCGACTCTTTGATCAAATGGCAGTCTCCTTGTTTGATTCTGTTCTGGTGTCTCAAGCATCAACATGCTGCTCTTTTTAAAAGAGTGGGACAGAGTGTGCTCTGAATCACAAGACACCCCAGGGAGGAAGCTGGCGATAGCCGTCTCTGCCGGCGATGTCTCTACCACTCGGTCCAAATTCCTGGAGTTTGGAAGTTCTACAGCGAGCCAGGAGAAGCAACTCAGCTCTAGGCAGCAAAGCCCAGATGAGAGCAGAGTACGCCCTGGGGATAGAGCCAGTCATGCCCATCAAACCTTCTTAGGCTTGTGACCTGGTTGTACCAGTGAGGAGCCCTTCAGCTAGTCCTTTATTACTTTGAAGAATTCCATGGTAACTCTGGGTTTTGCTGAGTGCCAGGTACCTAAAGCTTCTCTCCTCCTCCTGGAAAGAAAACAATAGATCAGTCTGTGAGCGTGACCTGAAACTTCGAACAAGTGCAATGTTGTAAAGGAGAAGCAAGCAGTGCAAGGTCTGTGTCAATCAGGATGGAGCAAGACAGCTGGCCTCACCTGTTACTAACAAGAGTGAGTGTACTGCATGGAATGTGAGCTCTAGAGCAGTCCGCAGACACAGCACAACAAACCCACTATAATTATTTGGGAAAAAGAGGTCCAGTGGGGTCTCTTTAACCTGACAAGCACCCACACCCCTGTAATCAGTAGGCTATTCACTTCAAAGTTTTGGAGATACTCAAGACAAGGGTAATTCGGGTCTTAGGAAGGATAGTTCCAGTTCTGTTTCATACGAAATCTCTCCAAGTCTTGAATTTTCATTCAAGTCACTATTGTGTGTCTCGGACTCTAAGCCACAGTATAACAGGGGAAAGACATGTATTTAACTTCCGTTCAAGTACCCACAGAAAGCATTCCATCCATCTATCCATGCATCAATCCATGCATCCATCCACTCAACCATCTATGCATCCATCCATCCATCCATCTATGCATCCATCCACCCATCCATCCATGTATCCATCAATCCTTGCATATATCCATCCATCCATCCATCCATCCATCCATCCATCCATCCATCCATCTATACATCCACCCTCCCACCCATCCATTCATCCAAGAAACAGCTCTTAGTTATCTGCTGGGATCTAAGGCTCTGGGCCAGGTCAGGGGAATGTAGCAACCTGGCTTACCTCTCATGGGACTCAGTCTTTCTCTTTGAAGGTAGACTTTAGATGTTCATGTAAACGGGGAGCTACAGAAAATGGCAAGCGCTTTCTTACAAGATTGTGAGGTGATATATCTATCTATATACATACATACATATATATTATATATATGATGGGAGATGTCATTCTGTATATATGTTTCTCATACTGGTTTAATGAATAAAGCACTGTTGGCCAATAGGAAAGCAAGATAGGCGGGACTAGGAGACAAGGAGGAAAGAGGAAGTAGGAAGGAGGAGTCAGATGGAGAGGCTGGGGAGACCAGACGCAGGCCCATTCCCCAGTAAGATGAAAGCACGTGGAAATTCGTAGATTAACAGAAATGGGTTAATAATTAAGACAGAGCTAGCTGATAAGAAACTAGTACCTGGCCAACATCATTATATCTAATACAGACAGACCAGCGGTGGGTGGAAAAAACCTTATATAATTTTTTCTTATTTTACATATTGATCCCAGTTTCCTCTCCCTCCCATGCCCCCCAATCCCTTTCTCATCCCATTCCCTCATCCACTCCACAGGGAGGGTGATGCCTTCCAGGAGGGATAATCAAGTCATTTGGAGTAGGGTTTAGGCCCTCCCTCCTGCCTCTAGGCTAAGGCCCTCCCTCCTGCCTCTAGGCTAAGGGAATATCCCTCCATGGGGAATGTGCTCCCAAAGTCCTTTCGTGCACCAGGTATATGTCCTGGTTCCACTGTCAGAGGTCCCTTAGACTGCCCAGGCCTTCTAACTGAGACCCACGTTCAGGGGGTATGAGTTGGTCCAATGCTGGTTTCCTAGCTATCAGTCTGGGAGTCCATGAGCTCCCCCTTGTTCAGGTCAGCTGTCTCTGTGGGTTTCTGTAGCCTGGTCTAGACCCCTTTTCTTATCATTCCTCCCTCTCTGCAACTGGATTCTAGGACTTTGGCTCAGTGTTTAGCTATGGGTGTGTGCTTCTATTTCCACCAGCTACTAGATGAGGGCTCTATGATGCCATATAAGTTAGATATCAATCTCATTATCAGGGAAGGGCATTTAAGGTAGCCTTTCCACTGTTGCTCAGATTGTTAGTTGAGGTCATTGAGGTCAGTTTTGTAGGTCTCTGGACATTTCTCTAGAGTCAGTTTTCTCTTCAAACTTATAACGGCTCCCTCTATTATGGTATCTCTCTCTCTTTCTCTCTCTTTTCCTCTTGTCTATTTGTCCCCCGACTCAATCTTCCTGGTCCCACATGTTCTCCTTTCTTCCCCTTCTCTTTCTCCTAACTCCCTCTCCACTCACTGCCCCCCACTCCAATATGCTCAGGAGCTCTTGTTCCTTTCCCCTTGTATGAATCTCTTAGGTTCTTCCTTGTATGACTGTGAGGTTCTTAAGACTGGATTTAATTTAGCAGAAGTTGGCTAACTAATTGCTAATGTTAGCATGGATTGTTGCTTGGAAAACAACTTCTGGCTGTGTCACTTCTGTGGCTATGATTTCCCAGCTTCATGAATGCACAGTTCTAAATTGCTCTGGAGACATTTTCACGAAACATTGACAGGGAAACTTAAAATGCTGGAGATATTTCCTACGTGAATTAAATATTTCAAAGTGCAGATGAATAAAATATGAACAGCAACTGATTTTTCATTGTGGTGCTCAGCAGAAGCTGATGTCACCCTGGTCTCTGATCACTTAAAGAGATTGTGTATTGGCTTCCATCTTGCCAGGGTGGATGGGTTACACTGCAACATTTGTTCATAGCCATAACAACAAGCAAGGTGAGCATTACTGAGTATTCTCCGTGTTCTAGATATTTTCCAGGCACACCTGCAGATTGTGTGAATCCCCACAACAAATGCTATGAGGATATGTATTATTCCCATTTCATAGAGGGGGAAACTAAGGCAGAAGAATTTAAGTTTTTGCTGAGGTTTGACCCGATAACTAGCTGCTTTCACTCTCAGGCTGCTTTCACGTCCACTACCGGCTGAGACATTGGATCTTTTGAACTCCCCATGGGATTCTAGGACCTTTGGTAATCTCTTCAGATTCTATGGGCTGGTGATGTGCTTCTATGATGCTTCCGTCTCCTGGGGCTGTTCTGATGTAGTACATCTAGGCAGACAGAGTACTGTACCTTTGGATTATGACAGACACTTCTCTTCATTCTAGTCACCTAAGACCTCCTCCACGCTCCCTCCCTCCATTTGGGACTCACTAGTTCTCAGCCTGTTCCCCCAACTAGGGACTCTCCAGTCAGTACACGTAGCTGGAAGACACAGGCCATTTCCTTCTTTTGGGATCACCAGAGTCTTTGTCACCTTCCTGGTTGGGACCCTCTCATTGTCCTAGCCCATCACCAGCCCATTTTGAGGTTCACACTGTTCTAGGGTAAACTTGTTCTAGGCTTCTGGACTAAGCCAATGAAGGCATCAAATTGTAGTTGACAAGCAGAAGACCTGAGAAAGAGGTTCTGTCTCCCCAAACCAGAAAATTAGGGACAATCAACATTCCCAACCCTTGTATGATTAACCTCCTGAGCATTGTAATTGCTCCTGGGGAGAGAAGAAAAGTGACTTACAA